CTCCCCTAACACCTGCAAGTTGCAAGTTGCAGGTTAATTTTAAAGGAGAGAGAGAGAATATTAAAACAGCAGATTAAATTACTAACAGGTAAAACCACCTCAGCCAGGAAGACTAAAGTCCTGTCCCAGGCTTTAATACATTTGAATGCTCAACCAGCAGGGCCTGCTGCCCCATACAGTAGACTGAGGAGCCCTGCTGAGGCACCAAATACTCTGAAGTTATGGAAATCATGGGAAACAGCCACCAGATCAATGAGCTATGCTGCTGAGAACACTGAGCCCCATGACACCTGGGCAAAGAATTGCCTACTGGAATTTTCCATGGAACATCTGTTACTGGGCCCTTTCCAGAATCTTGGACAGCAATATCACAGAAATGAATGTGGTCTCCACAAGATTGCTAAGCATACAAACCTTTTTCTTAAAAGCGATAACTTATGCAAAATAAAGAAGGCAGAAGAAAGATAAAAGAATCAACTCCCCCAGTAGAAAGGGAAAGCTCCTTTTATAACAGAAGGAAGAATCTGTCTCATGAACACTGGTCCTTTCCAGAAATCATCAGATTTCTTTGATCTGAAGCAGGTGATGCCAGGGAGGCTTTCAGGAATAGGGAGCGAGCGCTTCTGTGAGGGGACAGAAATGCATGAGACTTTACTGCAAGAAAGTACAGGAACAGATAAGGTAAAAATCTATAGTTGAACTTTCTGTTTTATGGCATTTAAGTATACTTATTAGTGCAACAGAGATAAAGCTAATTTTTTATTCCTGCGAACCTAGCTTTCTGTCTCTAAGACTTGGGTAACCAGGGCCTTTGTTCTTTAGTTTATAAGGCCTGTTTTGGTCAAGGCATTCCCTGGTCTTTTTCCAAAATGGCTGTACTCCTGTCTTTCTGTCTCGTTCCCACCAGGATGAGTGAGTTACTTCGCACCCTTGGGTGAGGGAGAATTACTCAGTCTCCATTGGGATCCTATTGTCCTGCTACAAACAGGAATGTGGAAACACATTATACCTGGAATGGGATACACCCTATTAAGAAAGGAGAGAAGATAAGAGTTCTGTTCTGGCATATTTTGCCCTCAGACCATCTCCTCAGGCCTGACTACCACCTCCCCCAGGGCACAACCAAGCCAAGTTCCTAGATACCGATTTCATTCTCCTCAAGGTCGGGTGGTCATGTTGTTTTCCATTTTGTAGTCATGTGGCCACTGTCTGTTCCCTCCATTGGTCTGGAGGACATTACAGCATATATAGAAGTCCTTACAAACTTCACCCAGCAAGTCTTAAATGACAGCCAGCAAAGCCTGTCCTTACTGAACCTTGAAATGTTCTCAATAGAAGAGAAAATCTGCCCTCCAAAATAAAATGGTCTTGGACATTATTATTGCCCCGCAAGGAGAAAGTTGTGCCATGATCCACAGTGTTGTATGTTCATAGTTGATATGCTACTGTTATCATCTTTAAATCATATAAAAACACAAGTAAACACTATGAGTGATCTGACCCCACCTTGGGGGACTGAGTAAATCCACGACTTGGATCATAGGGCTGTTAGTGGAAAAAACTGTTACTTATGTTAGGAATCATTATCCTGATTTGTGTTTTCTCTTACAGGTGCCTCTATTACTGCCATGGTATCTGACTCTGGTGCAGCCGGCTAACGGCCAAACAAGCCACCTCCAAGCTGGTGAGACCCCTTGCCAACTACTCAGGGCACACGGTGCAAGAGAGGCTGTGTGAGGTTGTAAGGGTCAATCTCCAAAGGTAAAGTGTTAATGGAAGTAATCAGCGCACATGGCTATCAATGACGCAAGAACTGGGCTCAGACAATTGTAGGCTCATTGCTCTTCTCTCTGTTCCCACAGTGGGAGTTCATTTTTCAAGGACGCAGACTTGAGACAGCAGTGCATTACTGAGATCATATGGACAGGGTACATGCCTGAACCCAGTTAAAGCCTCTAAATAAATGCTTAAGATGTGGTAGGTGAATGAAAAAGTCACTTACTTGTGGCCACTCAAGACAAACCTCATAACTTTCCTTGCTTATTAAACCTGCCACCTACCAATCTGGAGTGGTCTGCGTCTTTCTTCATCTATCCTTGCCTTCCATGTATGAGGGCCATTTGTGAACCAACACATTCCTAGTGAAGAAGTGTTCATTTGCCTTGTTTATTCCATTGTCAATATTCCTCCCTAGTATGGCTTACAAGATGACTATATTTAGGTTTTGCCCGCACCTAAGTATCTTTTTGGTCTCATCTCAACAATGCACTCACTGATCGCATCAAGTGGGGAACATAGAAAAAGAAAGGTTTTTGCTGGGAAGGAGCTCCTAATGCTGGTATAATCTTTTTTCCCCCATTTAGGTCTAGACAAGTTATTCTCCACTTGAGCCACTTTCATCCCACCCTAGATTCATTCTCTGCCCTTCTTGGCAGCTCTGCGTCCTGGCTTGCTGACCCCTGCACACTGCATCAGTCAGCCCCCCTGACTTAGAGTTCGACTCCATCAACAGGAGAGGTAATGCTAAGGGAAGACAGGGCATCAGGGAGAGGTCAGGGCAATTCCCCCTCCCTCTCAGCCTCAGTGCCTCATCCCCAGCAGTAGCTGCATCCTCCACACTCACAGCTCTGCCTGGGGGCCCCTACTTGGTGACTCCAGTTCGCACTGGGCTTTTGTAACTGTTTTTGTAACTCCCCTTGTTTCCTCAGTACAGGGGCTGAAACAGGGATACTTCCCACTGTGATCGGCCTTGGGGTGACTCATCATCTTTAGTTTGTTATTTCAACCCTGTCCACATCTCTGTAAGTCAGTCCTTTCCTTAAAGCCTCTTGTTTTAAGCAATAGTTTGATTCTATTTCCACCCTGAAATAGGTATCCTCTTGTATCCTCTTGTATCTGGTATCCTCTTGTACCTCTTGTGTCCACCCTGATACAAGAGCTGTCTTCCAAAATTGATTCTTGACCTCTGGAATGTGAGGAGACAGATGTGACCTGTCCTGTGGGTGTTAAAGCCCTTCAGATCACCGTAATTTGGGGCTCATACCTCAAGGTAAATGCCACAGAATGTATTACTTTTTCCATTCTGCTTGTATCTTTCTGGAACACCTCATGGGCAGAGATGACTTGGGTTGGGCAGAATTTGTAACCTCCTGAGTTCCTGGACTACATAATACCATCTAATACCATTCTAATCCACCATCATCTTTAACAAATGCTTATTATTTCTTCATGTGGTAAAGCAGATCTCCAAAGAGCAGCATCCATGTGGTGTTAGCATGATGTCACAATATTAGGAATTGCGTAACAGACCATGCATTCTGAGTGGTAAAGGGATTTCTCTTTGAAAAAGACCATGCAGGTAACACAAATTTTAGCAAGTCCAGAATTAAATCAACAGTCACTGCAGAGCCAAAACAAGTTAGAAAGCTTCTCTAGAGGGACCTTAGCTATATGGTGAAGGCATCTTATATTTTAAGGAGCATTTCTAATCAAAACACATATATCTGAGCAAGTCTGTAAAGAACATTTAGAGACTTACCTGGTGGTCCAGTGGTTAAGAATCTGCCTTTCAATGTAGGAGACGTGGGTCTGATCCCTGGTCAGGGAATTAAGATCTCGCATACTGCAGGGGGACTAAGCCCGCACAGTGCAACTACTGAGCCCGAATGTTCTGGAGCCCACACACCACAACCAAGACCCAGTACAGCCTCCACTCCTCTCAAAGAAAAACAGAAGAACAACATTTACTTTTTCAGCTTATGTGAGGCTGGGGGTGAGGACAATGCTGACTGTCAAACAGAGAGATTTCCTACTTTTTTTTTTTTAATTTCCATAAAATCCCTGAACCACAGTACCCAATCCTGGCTTCACAGTCCATGGAGACAGACTGTGGATGCTGCTCTGGGACCTGAGCTGCACCAGTCACTGGGAGAGCTTCTCACCTCTAGCCTCATGTTGCTGTGGTCTTTGCTTCTGTTCCTTGGTGGGTAGGATGCTGCAGCAGGATTTCGGGACAGCCGGGGCAGAACTGGGCTTCCCTCGTGGCTCAGAGGGTAAAGAATCTGCCTGCCAATGCAGGAGACCTGGGTTCGATCCCTGGGTCAGGAGGATTCCCTGGAGAAGGGAATGGCTACCCACTCCAGTATTCTTGCCTGGAGAATCCCACGGACAGAAGAGTCTATGGGCTTACCAGGCAAGAATACTGGAGTGGGTTGCCATGCCCTCCTCCAGGGGATCTTCCCCACCCAGGGACTAAACCATTTCCTGCATCTCTTGCATTGCAAGCATTCTTTACCTCTGAGCCACGGAAGCCACGAATCTTGTATATGGATGCAAATACAGTATTAGATCTAAATAGGGGAAAAGGGAGAAACAGTGTCAAGAAGACACCTCCATTTCCTTCCTGACCCTTCCTGGGTCGGGTTTGTGTGTTGCCACCAGGCAGGCAATGTATCTCAAAATAAAACAAAACAAACAAACAAAAATCAGTCTTAAAAAGAGAAGGTGGGAGAGGAGATAGTAAGTCATGAAACTTCTGAGAATTTACTTGCAAAATAACCAACTTCTGGTAAAAGAGATGGTCTGTGTTTACAGAGTGTTNAATAAAACAAAACAAACAAACAAAAATCAGTCTTAAAAAGAGAAGGTGGGAGAGGAGATAGTAAGTCATGAAACTTCTGAGAATTTACTTGCAAAATAACCAACTTCTGGTAAAAGAGATGGTCTGTGTTTACAGAGTGTTTTGTCTTACAAAAGAAACATTCAATTCCACAGGAGTGTTGTGAAGGTAGGAAGGAGAGATAGCAGGGAAAGTAGAGGAACTGAGTGAGGGAGGGTGGAAGGGAAGGGAGAGTAGGGGTAGAGGGAAGAAGGGATAGAAGGAAAGGGGAAAAGAGAATTGTTGGAAATATTTTTAGAGTGTTATAAACTTTTTAAAAAATATCTTTATTCTAGTCTTGTAGTAACTTCTCTGACTCTGTTCCTCTTCAGCTCCTATCAGCATGCAGTCAGGTGAGTCACTCTTTTGGTGTTGTTCTTTTATATCTCTAGGAACCATAGTTATTCTGCTATGCAAGGAAGATACACTTCCCCCAGCCTCTTAGGTGAGGGTTTTGGAGATCAGGGCTTGGACTGGGGTGAAGAGAGCAGGAGGCCAGTGTCTCACCCTGGTCCTAGCCGGGGCAGGAATGCTCCGACATCACATTCATCTTTGCTACCTGCCTGCTTGATGGGCAGAAGATCCTACCCTGACACTCCAAGGCAATGAATTTCTCTCCCTTTACTATTAAGCCCTGGGACAGGAAAGAATTTAACTATGAAGAGAAAGCAAATCATGCAATGTAGTCTTGGGAAAATGTTCTCCTGGTTTCATCCACAGGAGCTCAGTAGCCTCCACCAGAAGTACTAGAGACAGTGATGGAAAACATTTATAATAGAAAACCAGTGGGCTAGGGAGACGCTGTGCAAAAAAACAAGAACTTCCCTCAATCTTATATTTGGATTGCAAACTACCCATGTCTAACTTGTCTTTCTTTCTTTTTTTTAATTAAAATTCTAATGTAATGAAAAAGAAAGTTTGCTTTTATATTAACCTGGAAAGTTACATTTTCTTATTTAATGATTCCTCTGAGAAAGTATTCATCCTGCTATAGGGATGGAAAGTGATACTTTTATATACTTTTATATACTTTTATTTTATATAGTACTTTTATATCTGATGATATATATTACATTTTGTTATTTTAAGCAAAAGTGTTCTTAACACATTAGAGGGTCTCTGAATCAGCTTCATAGGATCCAGTGAACTCCCTGAAATTATAGTATAATGTGTCTGTTCAGTTCAGTTCAATATAATGTGTACATACGTACAATTGTACCTTCCTCAAGGGAATGGTATGCATGCATGCTATGTCACTTCAGTTGTGTCTGACTCTGTGTGACCCTATGGACTGTAGCCCACCAAGCTCCTTTATCCATGGGATTCTCCAGGCAAGAATATTGGAGTGGGTTGCCATGCCCTCCTCCAGGGGATCTTCCCGACCCAGGGATTGTACCCAAGTTGTTTATGTCTCCTGCAGTGACAGGCAGGTTCTAGCGCCACCTGGGAAACCCTCAAAGGAATGGGTCTGTAAGTAAACAGGGCAAAGGGTCCAATCTTTGTTCCAGACTGTGTAACCTGTAGTCATATTTCTTATCTAACTCCAGACCTTGTCAATATTACCAAGTTTGTCACATAAATCTTATTTTTCAAATATTTCTTTAATTAAGTTGATTTAATTTCTGTAATCTTCACTGAAAGTGAAAGTCACTTAGTCACGTCTGACTCTTTGCACCCCATTGACTACACAGTCCATGGACTTCTCCAGGCCAGAATACTGGAGTGGGTAACCTTTCCCTTCTCCGGGGGATTTTTCCAACCCAGGGATTGAACTGAAGTCTCCCGCATTGCAGGTGGACTCTTTACCAGCTAAGCCACAAGGGAAGCCCAAGAATATTGGAGTGGGTAGCCTATCCATTCTCCAGTGGATCTTCCCGACCCAGGAATTGAACCGGTCTCTTGCATTTCAGGTAGATTCTTTACCAACAGAATTATCGGGGGAGCAAAACCTTGCCTATAATCAATGTTGAGGAAGAAAACTTTTGGTCTCCAGAAGGACTTAAGACTTCTTTGTCTTTATCAATACTTATGACTCCTGCCATCCACTCCAACCTCCTAGCCTAATGGTGGGACTTTTGAAGTAGCTAAAAAAATATGGAGTAGTTGTCTCAACTTATTTGATCATTTTGTTCCATCAAGAAAAAATTTTGAGCATGTATCTTTAATGTGTTATATATATGGTGGTGGTGGTGGTTTAGTCCCTAAGTTGTGTCCAATCTTGGGAACCCATGGACTGTGGTCCATCAGGCTCCTCTGTCCATGGGATTTTCCAGGCAAGAATACTGGGATGGGTCACCTTTTACTTCTCCAATTATATACATACAGATCCCCATACTGACTGTGAATGTTGTAAAATACAACAGAAACAGAAAATTTAAAAGATGAGAAAATGTTTATCACAATATGAAAGTTTCTCTCCACTTCCTTATGAATCCCACCTTGCATTTTTTTTTAATTGAAGTATAGTTGGCTTACAAATTTGTTAATTTTGGTTTTCAGCAGAGTGACTCAGTTATACATATACATTCTTTTGTCATTATAAGTTATTACAAGATACTGGATATGTTTCCCTATGCTATACAGTAAACACTTGTTGTTTATTTTATATATAATAGCTTGTATCTACTAATCCCAAACTCCTAATTTATCCTTTTTCCCCTTTCACCTTCGATAACCATAAATTTGCTTTCTATGTCTGTGAGTCTGTTTCTGTTTTATAAATAAGTCCATTTGTATCATATTTTAGATTCCACATATAGGTGATACATGTAATTGCCTTTCTCTGTCTGACTTATTTCACTTAGTATGATCATCTCTGGGTCCATCCATGTTGCTGCAAATGGCATTATTTCACTCTTTTATGATTGAGTAGTATTCCACTGATAGTGGAGGACAGAAAGTCTGGTGTGCTACATTCCATGGAGATGCAAAGAGTAAGACACAACTTAGCAACTGAACAACAACTACAGTATTCCATTGTGTGTGTACATCCATATTAATATACATATACATGTTCTTTATCCATTCATCTGTCAATGAACATTTAGGTTGCTTCCATTGCAAACAGTGCTACTGTGAACATTGGGGTGCAAGGATCTTTTTGAATTGGAGTTTTCATTGATCCCACTTTGAAGACTTGATCTTGACATCACCAGACAAGACACTGAGACCTAGCTCTCCTTCCCTCCACCATAAACTCATGGCTGAAGGGATGAGCTGGGCAGACAGCCTAAGAAAACCCTCTCAAAGGCAGTCTCTTTTCCCACTCTCCCTTCATGTCTGGCACTGCCTCTCTTTACACTGAAGGGGAATGATCTAAAGTTCAGACCAGGGATTAGAGTTTACATCAGAACAACAAACATTTTCCCTGCAATTTATCCCAATGTACTATAATATCCCAATGTACTATGGCCAAAGAATTGATGCTTTTGAACTATGGTGTTAGAGAAGACTCTTGAGAGTCTCTTGGACAGCAAGGAGATCCAACCAGTCCATCCTAAAGGAAATCAGTCCTGAATGTTCATTGGAAGGGCTGATGTTGAAGCTGAAAGTCCAATTCTTTGGCCACCTGATGTGAAGAACCAACTCATTTGAAAAGACCCTCATGCTAGTAAAGATTGAAGGCAGGGAGAGAAATGGATGACAGAGGATGAGATGGTTGGATGGCATCACCGACTCAATGGACATGAGTTTGAGTAAACTCCAGGAGTTGGTGATGGACAGGGAGGCCCGGAGTGCTGCAATCCATGGACTCACAGAGTCAGACACGACTGAGCAACTGAACTAGACTATAATTACAAATTGATTTTTAAACCTGAATTTCTAGTTCCACTGTCAATCAAAAAATTTTCTCCCAAAAAAGGCCAAGGCTGCAGGGTTGAATCACAGAGCAGTGTGGTGGTTGACTCCCCCTTCTTTCTGCACAAACTTTCAGGCAATAGTCTTCTTGCTCCTCTCCGCTATATTGTTTGCTTTCCCTCCTGGGGCAGATCCAAAACACCACGCTGTTCATTCGTTCTCTGGTGACCACTCTCTTTTATGGGGAGGCAATGATCTGAACAAGTAGAGGAGCCCACTTCTCTTCTCTTAGGGATCATCCAAACACCTCTGAAAAAAACATCCAAGTGGAGAATTATGAATATTGAAGCTGTAGATCCCAGGGCTGATATCTCAGTGGCCCAGCTTGTTTCATCCAAGGAGAATGACAAAGAGAAGCTTTTTGAATTGTACTTCCGGGCTGAGCCTCTAAGGAATGACAAAAGCAAAGGTTAATTATGGCTGCCACAGGGATATGAGGTCACCTTGAATGGATATTAGGGGATGTAAAGTGGAACTGTTTTAAATCCATATTTGTTCCAGAAAAGTATTGGCACCCAGAAAAGAAAAAGGATCAAAATCTTTTCAATAGACATAAAGCTATTAGGATGTGTGGAAGACAAAAGATGTCACTAAGTGAAACAGAGCTCACCTTTGCTAAGCAAGGAAGCCAAGAGAGCCAGTAGGTCCCAAGGGACCTATGGATGCCCAGCTTCTTGTATATGAGTTTGCACCATCCTTCTGCCTTATGAACAGAAGCTAGAGGGCTGGGATGGGGGTGGGGAGCCCTGGAATCATAGATATTTTTGCATCTTTTGCAGACTGGCTGAGTATTGATATGCCATACTATGCCTATGAAGGAGACCAAGTGGTGGTGAGGTGCTCTGGCAGAGACAATAATAAAGAGACTGATGTTCTACAAAGATGGAGCTTACCTACCCGCTTATTATAACACCTATATCATTTCAAACGCAAGACCCAGTGACAGCAGCTCCTATTATTGTAAGGCAAAAAGGAGAGTGTTCTTATTTATAGATGACATGGAAGAAACAAGATCTGCATGGTTCACTGTCCAAGGTGGGGGTCTCACTGTTTAAGTGGATGAGACTGGGAAGGAGTAGGGCCTGGGTGGAAGGAGCAGGGTGCAGTGCAGAGAAGACCNTAGTTTAAAAAATATTTATTTTTTAAAAAGTAAAGAAGTAGTTTAAAAAAACAATAATAATCTCTCTGGAGCATTTATATATACTTAGCACTAAGGAATACTCAGTGAACCAAGAGATAAATCATGGTCTCTGTCTACAGAGAATGACCCCCAACTAGGAAGCACATTAAGCCAGCTAGAGCAATGGAGGAACAAAGTGATAATGGTGATAATGATGATGTGAGAAATATCCATAAGAATCCTCAGCATTTCTTAAAAGTTTACTAAACCAAGCTGTTAAATTCAATTCAGAACCCCTCTGATGCTCAGAAATATTTGCAGAGGGGAAGACTTGTAGAAAGTTTATCAAGTACTAAGAAGGCACTGATCAGAGCAGTTTTATATTTAGTCCTCAGAGTAACCCTGTGAAGTAGGTGAAAATTATCTGTAAAGTGGATAGTATGTCATCCTCACTTTACACATGAGGAACTGGAAGCACAGAGCTGTTTGGTGGCCTGCCCCAATGGAACCCAGCAAATAAGCGGCACAGCTGGAATCTGAAGCCAGGCACTCTGGCATCAGTTACATTTCCTATCTCAACCACATCAGTGGAGAGTAGTACCAGTAACAGCCACCACTTCCTGGACATCTTCAGTGTAACAGGTTCTGTACATGCATGCTGTTTCATCTTCATGAGAACGCTATGAAGTTGGTATGGTTATCCACACTTTACCTTTGAGAAAACTGAGGATCAGAGAGATTAACTGATCTATCAAGATCATGCAATGAATAAGCAGTGGAAGTGAGTGGGGACTCCCCTGTCAGCCCCCTTCCCATCACTCCTGCTGTCCTGAGTTTATCAGGAGGTCAGGAAGGAACAAGATCACTAAGGGCCGTGGTCATTAGCAAAGGCTAAAGAGTGTGGAGGAAGTGCAAGTTGGAATTTTTAGAACATTCAGGAGCAGGGTGATCCTGCCTGAGGGCTCTCAGCTTGTACCCTCCCTGATAAAAAAAAAACACTTCTCTGCCTAAACATCCCACCAGCCCCGCCTGCCATAATGCTCAGCAGGTGGTACCAGCCTCCACTCCAGGCCCTCACCCTTCGCCCTGTGTTCACACACACTCCCTGTGTCTGGAGTGTTCCTGGAGACACATCCCCGGAGGGACCAGGTGGTTGAAGGGGAGACGCTGGTCCTTGTCTGCTCTGTGGCCAAAGGCACCGGGAAAACCACATTCTCTTAGCACAGAGAGGACACGAGTGAGATTCTGGGGCGGAAAAGTCAGCGCTCTCAGACAGCCAAGCTGGAGATCCCCGTTATCTGGGAGAGCCACGCCGGGCGCTACTACTGCACAGCTGACAACGCCTACGGCCTCATCCAGAGCGAGGCAGTGAACGTCACTGTGAAAAGTAGCTAATTCTCCTAATTAGCCAGAGAGTCCCAACTGCCATTGGTTGGTTTCCTTCTGTGGCAGTGAGGATGTTCCAAGGATAAGAATCAGGGCTGTGAAGGGGTTAGGAAGGCATTAACATGCTAGGATTGTTATTGCAGCCGTGGTGGCAGCGGTAGCAGTGACAACAGGGGCAGAAGAGCCGAAGGACGATGACAAGGGGAGACAGGAAGCAGGCTCTGAGGCCCGGTCAGACGCAGGGTCTACAGAACTCCTCCCCGGAAGCTGGCAAAGCTCCACAGGGAACCGTCTCTGCAGCGTTAGCTCAGAAGGTGCGATAGTGGGGAAGAAACCCCAGGGCTTGAGAGGTACTGTGTGGACACAGTGAGAATAGACAGAGTGGGTTTTAAGTCTGTGCCCGCACCAGAGACCCTCCCTGATGAACGGTCCTTTATCAATTCTAGTGTCATGTCCTGTCCTCACCTTCAGTGTTCCCGGGGCCCAGGCCTTGAGTGGGGAGGGGCCAGGCCTTGACTGGGGACGTGGTGGAGCTTCGCTGTGAGGACAAGAGAGCATCTCCCCTCATTCTGTACCGGTTTTATCATGAAGATGTTCCCCTGGGGAGCACCTCGGCGCCTTCTGGAGGAGGAGCTTCCTTCATCCGCTCTGTGACCGCAAGGCATTGTGGGAGCTATGCTTGCGAGGCCGACAACGGCCTGGGGGCCCAGCGCCGGGACGTGGCGGTATTCCACGTCGCAGGTGGGACAAGTCCGACGCCTCCTTCCAGAGCACTAGTTGCCGTTATGCCAAACAATGGCTTGTGTGTCCTTTCCATGGGTTTTCCTCTCCTTCGAGGAATCGGAGTTCAACAAAAGAAGCTGTCTCTCCTCACTGGTCTGAACAGCAGCATCACTGGCCTTCCGGTTCCCCTTTCACTTACATCTTCAGATAGGTGTGACGTAAATACTGCACTAGGATCAAGTCAGCCCTGGGAGTGGGTAAGTGAGGCATGGAGGGAGGAGACAAAGACGGCTGCATATTCAGAGCTCTCAGCGAGCAAGGAGCTACAACCAAACCTTGTCAGTACTCAAGGAAACAGTGAAAACCCCATGGACAAACCAGATTCTAGGATTCAAAGCTTTACTAGGATTATCTCATTTAATCTCCACTGACAACTCTCATTTTACTAGTGAGGAAATGATATTTAGAATAAGTAACTTACCCACCATCACACAGCAAGTAGCTACAAAGATGAAATTCTAGACTAGAACTACAGAATTGAAAAACTGCTCTTTGCCACTATGTTAAAATGATGGCTGTATATATAATATTTTTCCCTTTAATTTATTATTGTGGAGAAGTGGCTGCATAAGTTTCTTAATATGGAATAATCGTTGAATTCCTGCTATAAACCCTTCTCAGTCATTATATCATAGGTAGCAGCTACGTACAACTTAATATTTATTGCAAATGTTTGCATCTTTATTTATGAGCTTTCTTTTTTGAACCAATTTTGAGAGGTTTACCTCATAAGAATGTTTTCAGAGGGTTTCCATATTTTCTGTGCTCTGCAGCAGTTTAAAACCATATTGGAAATGGAAAAAAGACAACCTCTTTAACAAGTGGTGCTGGGAAAACTGGTCAACCTCTTGTAAAAGAATGAAACTAGAACACTTTCTAACACCATACACAAAAATAAACTCAAAATGGATTAAAGATCTAAATGTAAGACCAGAAACTATAAAACTCCTAGAGGAGAACATAGGCAAAACACTCTC